CTACTCTGAAAAGAAGGCTGCTTCATGTTAGGTGCTGCTATTTGCTAAAAATCAGACTAGGTTGTCTACACCTGGTTCAGTATCACTGGAAAAGGGAATGTAAGCCTCCCTGTGGGGTGCTCATATTAAGTGTTCAGTCCTTTAAGCAGTCTCTCTCTTTAAAGCAGAATGTATGGTGGTAAGGGTTTACTCACATTTCCCGGTGAAGGTTGGTAATCTAAGTAAATGCCATTGAGAAATATCCTGTATTTTTAAAGCCCATGGACTCTCAGCTTGAAAGAAGAAGAGCCAAACAGGTCTCATAATCATAAATGTCTTCCCCATCCAACCTGATGATTCACTTGACTGAGAAGGCTTGGAGTCAACTCAGTGGGTGAGGCAGAGTGGCATCCTGCTGCTTCCTTTTCCTTCTTCCCTTCCTCCCTTCCTTTGCAGAGCTAGATTTGGCTGTTCACTTCCCTTCAGCAAAATTTCACAGAGGTGTAAACTTCACTAAAGATAAAGCACTCTTTGCTGAGTTTACAAAGTATTAATTTCATATCAGATACAGCAATGGTTTTAAGAAGTGCAGATGACAGCTGTGCACCAGCGGCTTTCATCCAGATGTCAAAAAGTCCTTCGTATTGGAAGAGGTTTACGAGCTGTTCCTAATACACCTGAGTCTTTACTAGAAAATCAGAGCTGAAAGGACCTATGCCCCATATATGATTTCACAAAGCACCTTCCTTCAACCGTACCCACAAAAAATTAACAATAATTTGATAAGATAGCCATGGAATGTGTTTAGTACGCTCCAGACAGATAAATTCATTTTCAGCCACAAATTTCAGCTATGTTATGTGCTCTGTAACTTTGATAAAATCATTACTAACCAGAGTTATATAACACAGGCTAAGGAAATATGACAGGATGAAATTATACTATTAATGAATTTCCTTACAGTAATATTTGCTTTAGAGAGGGGAAAAAAATCCACCATGTTTTCCTGCCTCATATTGCACGGAAAAACATATACTCACTTTCTTAAGGTGTTTGGTCTGAAGAAAGTGAGTGCCATGGGTTTTAAAATGTTTCAGAAGCAGCCATCAATAAGAACAATGTTGAGGGCCATAATCGATAAGTTTACAAGACTGCAGTCATAGGCCACCAGGAAATCCATTTTGACTTAATAAGCTTTCCAATTTTTCAGGTAAAATATAGCACTTCTGGATCATATCCAAGCAATGAAGACACAGTAATAAAATGATTCCATACAGTTTGCACAGTCTTCACAATTTTTAAACCAAGATGGTATTTTAGCAAAGATTAACACTTGGTTTCCCCCATCTTATGTACCTCATTCCTACCCCCTTTTGGTACTGCAATGAAAACCACACTCTCCCTACTTAAAACTGGGTTATGACATCCATGTCTCCATGGATATTCTGCAGCAGGTTAAATGTGTGAAATATTTCTACATGATAGAAGTACTGTTTGCTGAAACCACATTCTGCTACAGCAAAAAGACATTTCACCGGGTACAACACTATTGAAAGATTTTCCACATTCTCCAAAAAGGCAAAACATTCCTTTATTTCTTTGTTGGATTTACTCCCCCCACCTAGTGTAGCACTTACCTTCTCTTTCTTGAGCTCACCTACCATGGTTCAGTGCTTGAGGTGCTCGGTGTCTCAGGTGACTCACTAAAGAGCATGAAAAGCTGCAGCTGAAGCAACTAGTGAGAACAGCAGTTGTACTGGTATGTCACAGAGATGCTTGCTTGCAATCTCTGGCAATGTATACAGAGAATTTTCTGCAACTGAAGCCTAAAGTTCATATGCAAGAGAGAAAACTGTGAGAACAGAGATGAAGTTTGTGTATCTGAATTTATTATGCCAAAGCAATACTTTGGTTAACAGCTAGAAGAACTCTCTTTTTCTTGGTCTTGAGCACCTCCTCTGGGAGAATCAAAGGAGGCTCGGAATGGTTGATCTGTGTGTGTCCTCTTGCACCTGCACGTTTCTACCCCACCTTTGGAAAAAGTCATTAGGAATAATACTATTTTATGGAGCTATCATATTCACATTCTTTCCCAAACAAGCTGCATCTTTGTATGAGGAGCCTGTGGTGAGTGTGTTTTCCTATCAGTTGTAAATCTGCATGACCCCCTACTTAACACTTCCCTTTCACAGAAAGTAGGAGGATGATCTGGACAGTAAACTTCCCTCTAGTTTGAAGTTCCTAATTCTTTGATTTTATCACATTTGAGTGTAAGTCAGCAGTTTCACCTGCAGCCATACAGTGACTTGGACTGGATACTGTTACTATTAGATACATTGCTCGTACCCTAGGTATGTAGGTAGTAGTAATCATTTAAATTAATAGCAAGACATCCAGATGATACAGTGGAAACTGCTTTGTCAAATCTAAGGGAACTTATTTAAACCTCTGTTGTCCAACTTCCAAAGTGTTCTAAATGAGGAGGAGTTGTTGGCTATAGAGTGATATTGCTCTTCGTGAAATGAGGAGTGACACTACCACAATAAACTTTTTTAAAGTAACCATGACATCATGGACAGAAGACAGTTAAAAGTCCATTTCCAATATCCTTTCTGTGAGCAAATTGCTCATAGGAATGTTGTTGACCTCAAAGAAATGAAGAATTCAGTCCCATGTGCCGTTAGAGCTAAAGATGATGGAGAAAAATGGTATGCAGCCGTTCTTTCAGTTGTCTTCAAGCTGATGACACACACTTCCATTTGGTTGTTCAACCAATCCAAAATTTTGAAGTCAAAACTGTAATGATTTCACAATCTTACCAGCATCAGAACTGAGGCATCTACTGATACATTTTCTACATTTATTTGCACTCTGATGCTTGTCGAAGGCAATTTACAGATCTTTGAATTTGGATTCCAACTACTTCATTTTCTCTGGACCTTGGTTTTAAGAAATGTGTTTCAGGAGGTTGTCTATAAATCTCAGTGCCTCATATCACAATGTCTCTGAATATGCTTTTGAACTGGGTTTTGCTTCTGTTATTGCAAAGATTTTCCCTCTGTAACTACTCGGTTTACATTTTTGCTAAGGACAAGTGGAAGACTTGACTCTTCTGTTTCCTTTTCATTCATTTCATTGGAGTGTTTGGTTCTAGATGATTTGTACCATGGGGTTGCTTCCTTGCCTCCAGCTCCTTTCTTCTACGATTTTGTTTTTCTCCATTTAATAATGCCCTCTCTGCTGATTTTTGAATCAAAGGAACTTTAGATACTGACAACGATCCTCTTAATATTTTGTTTCATGTTCCATTTACATATTGCAGACATTCTGGGGAAAGAGCTACAAAGAGAGGGGTGAGAGCTGAAATGCTTTCTCACTGCTGAGGCTTGTTTTAATCACCAGAGCGAGCCAACTCCTAACATTTTGAGTATGATGGCTTAAAGCCCATGGGTCAAAGGGATGAAGAACAGAAGAGACCAACAGCCTTTCTCATGCTACCCCCTGCCCTCTAAAATCTATTTTTTTTTGTTGCACTAAGCTACCTGGTGTGGACACAGCCACTGGCACACTCAGTGAGCCCTGCTGCCAGGGCAGGCTCCTCAGCTCTTGGAAGTTCTGCTATGGGCTTTAGCTTGAGTTCTTGTCCTCCCTTCTGTTCTCCACTTTTATAAGGTGACTAGACCCACAATTTGTGAAGTGTCAGCCAAAGGGAAGGTTAACATAAAGCGCTGATGGCAGCCATGTGTCTCTTGGGACAGAGAAGTGTTCTGAGAGAGCTCCTTTTCCTTCACTCCCACCTTTCCATTTATTTCCACTAATTTGGCAAGAAACCAGTTCTACCCTCTCAATGTCTAAACACAGGAAGTTCAGTGAAGTTACAAAGTGGTAAATTAGAAATGGATGGAAACATATTAATTAGGATTAAAAGTTTGCTATTATTTTTTATTAGTCTAATATTAAAATATTAGAAACAAATTTTTCATATGGCCCATGGAATTGTGGAATTTAGTGCCCAGCTAGTTTTTTTGGTGTCTAAATTTATCAAGATTAAAAAAAAAAGTGGATTTCTGTATGGATAGCCAGTATCTAGAACTAGCAATAAAGCAGAAAATTTCAAGCTTCATTCTCTAACTGTTAAAGATACGGATAATTTTAACACAATGGAAAATGATCTAATTTCTTCTTACTACCAAGTTTCTTGCAATTTTTTCTAATTTATCTGTTTTGGCTTCTGATGAAGACCTTTTTTTGTATATATGCAACATGAGTTTGACTCTGGGCAGATGTTTCTAAGGTTTCACTATAGCATTCCTTAGAAAGCCATTTAATCCAAATGAGGAATGAACATCTCAGCTTTTTCTGATCTTTATTTATAGAAGGCAAAAGCCAAGCTTCACAGAAGTCAGACTGCATTTTGAAATTAATCCTGTTCCAATAAAATGAATTATCACCTTAAAATATTCGATGAAACCCCTGTTTATGTGTATCTTTGCAACCTGGAAATTCTACCAAGATTAATCCCATTGGAGTTCCAGTAAAATGGAAAACCTAATTCACTTGTGAGGCAGAAAGGACTTTAAGTTCCAGTACAACACTTTATGCATCACTAACTTGCCCCTCCCCCCTGCCCCTTTTTTTATTTTCATGGCTGAATTTAGCTCCATCTTGCTGCACTTATTCTATTTTCCAATGGTAAAAACTTGGTCATGAAGTTTTGCTTTTATTTTGTGGAGGCTGGAATTCTTCTCAGGGTATGCCTGAAGCACATGTTCTATATTAAGCCAAATAAAACTAAACGTATCCTTAAAATCAAGCTGTTGCTTACTTTCTATGCTTAATAGAAAATAATTAAGCATGCGCTTAAGTATTTATTGGGATTGAGGTCTGCTTGCTGAGATGGAGATAACAGAATTTTTAAGATTACTATAGATGAAGAATTCAACTTTTTGTACTCTTTTGAATTCTCATTCACTCAAGAGAAAAGCTCACCACAACACTGATACTTACTTTAATAAGTCAAATGGTTCAGCACAGAACCAGGAAGTTGGCCAACAGCAAGCAGTGAAGTACATGGAAGGGAATTTTCCTCAAAGGAGGGGAAGGTTATATTATATGCCTCAGGTTCACAGCTTTCAGTTTGGGCAATGACATCTGTCAGGTAGGATACTAAATGCATGGAAGAATAATTGTATAGAGTAGGATTTACTGTTAAGAAGTGATAGTTCTCTGACTCTTAATTCTCAGCAAAAGATAAGGCCATTAAATCAGAATTGCAAGATATGCTGATCTCATCATGGTGGTCATGATGAAGTAATTCTAATTTTGTCAGTGATATATTTATTAATGTCTCTACATCTTCAAAAAGAAAATTCAAGACTCTGATGACAGTTCCTTCAAAGTAAACTAAATGAGACATGCTTTATTTTTATTTTTTTAAAAACTCCCCAGTTAAATTAAATATATGCAAAACTTAAAAATTACAGCTTATTAAAGCTTGGTCTACCTAGTAGCTTCCCTGTTGGAATTCAGTAATTATGAACGAAAGGGATCCTAACAGGCACCTGTTTTACACTTGAAAGCTCAGAATTATTGCTCTACAGTAACACTTCATGTTATGTAACATCAGTCAAAGAGGGAATTATGCAGCAATATTACCATTATCTTGTCTGGAAAGACCAGAAATTATATTCATATTGGATGGGATGGGTTGTTGTCATTCTACAAACACTAATGACTGCAATATCCATGGGCCTAAAGAAATAACGTAATATGCAAAATACCTGCATTAAAACCATATTTACCCTTTTTTCAAATAAGTGCTTCCAGATCCTTAGATGAAAAGCATTTAACTGCAAACCACTATACTGTAAGTACTAAAAAACTTCTGGACAACCTAGGCCATACTTGACTGACTATATGGAATACATTTTCTTAATTTTTTGAGGTATGAACAGACTACAGTAACAGATAATAACAGTCTACATAAAAGATGTAAAAGTTTGGAGTTTTTTACATACATGAAGCAAAAAATGTAAGGAAACTGACCCTGAACAGTGAAGGGTCTATAATTCATCAATTTTTGTTCCTAATGAAAAAACCTTAATCCTAAAAAAGTTAAACACCAGAAATGCCTAGAAAAGGTTTTTGTGAGGAAGATCATAGAAAAACAGATGCTATTAAGAAAAAAAAAAAAAAAGAGAGATCAGAGAAGTTTTCTCATAATACGTAGAAATTCTCTTAGTTGACGTATTTCACACTCCTTGTCTTTATGAAATTTGATATTTTACCAAGATTTTGGACTACCTCATGGACATTCAATTAGAAATTTAGTTATTTAAATGCTGAATACAGTCATTCATTTTATAAAGCAGTCTTAATCCCTACATAATATAGCTTTCCTTAGACAAAGTAAAAGAGATTGCTTCCAACGTGTTATACCTGTACTTGTGGACTCACTAAAACCTGCCTACATGTTTAGCATTTTCTAAAGAGACCCTTGTCCTCATGAGATGCCAGAGACAGACAGAAGTAAGAGGGACAGATGACAACATAAACATTTTCTGGAAATTGTGGTAGCTAGGAAAATGAATTTTAACTATTTAAATAAACCAAAACTATGACTTATGTATTTTAAAAATAGATAGCAAAACTCCGTAGGGTACTTGGCAAAAAAAGGGCTCAAGAAAGAGGCAAGAAGGGAAAAGTAAGGATGGCCTACAGAAAGCTATTTGGATACAAAGGAGTTAAGGCCATAACTTTATCAGAATTGAAGCAGGAAGACAGGATGGATTAACTTCACAAGAATGAAAAGGAAGGCTACATGGCAACATGGAAAATGAGAAGAATATGAGGAAATGAAAGAAGGAAGATGCAAAGTATTTTGGTTAAACTGTAGGATCACATAACCTTGTATAGCTCCTAGCAGGCGATCACCATGCCAAACAGAATTATAGAATAATGGAGGTTGTAAGTGACCTCTGGAAGTCATCTAATTCAACCCCCAAAAAGAAAACAAAATACAACAGAAAGTACAACAACGGTTATTTACCCCTGTAAATAACTGCAAAAAAATTACAACACAATACAAAAGGGAATAGATGGGCAAGTACAGGATAAGCAAATGAACAAACATGTTTATAGCAATAACTGTATCAAAAACAATGCAATGGGATAAAAGCCAATCCAGAACAGATTTCTGGTCAAGATCTGAACAGTAAGTCATTCAAGTGGAAACAGAACAAGAAGCATCCAATGCTGTTACAGTAAATTATCTAAATAGTTTTATAATATTCCCAGAAAACTATATGATGTACAGAGAACAAGGCTGGATTCACTTCACAATATGGAATGCTGCTTTAATTTAGCATTTATCATGAGGACAAATCATAAACATTCCAGTCAACTTTCAAAAGTACTGTGTGGAAGACTTGGTGTTAACAGTATTTTTGTGCTCTCATTTTGATGAAGAGAGGAAAAGTTGCAAAAAAAATCATAAAACCATAACAAAATTTCATTCCACTTTCCTGATCTCCAGTCCAGTGCATGTTCATAGACATTAGGCATTAATCATATGCTGGCAAACCAAACAGTTCTGGTTTGAAATCCTCCATGGAGTTCAGCAGTAGCGATGCCTCCTTTTTAAGATCTGGATTTAATTTTTCATCTGGAATCATAACCACTTGCACTCCTGCTGCCAGGGCTCCTTTGACTCCAAGTGGTGAATCTTCAAACACAAGACACTGAGAAACAAGGAGATAAGGGGAAAAAATTAAAGAATAACATTACTACAAAATTCTAATCTTCTACTGTAAAAGAGAGAATATCCCAAATAAAACTTAGTAGGAAAGATAAATACAATTCCTGGCTTAGACACCCATAATTAGAACAAGGGCAAACCTCTCAGTTTGAACATCTGCATGGTAATTAACCTTAAATTCATTTCAATTCAAAAAAACATCAACACGCATACTTAAATCCCAGCAACTGGTTATCCAGATGTTCCTAAGTGATTTGTTTTATAGGGATGGGTTTAAGCAGAAGCTTAAAGTAAAGCAAGTGCTTAAATAACTTTATAAGCAAGCAATCTGAGTCTTCAAGATCAACTTTACAACCTGCAAAATGGCAAAAGCAGCACTTGCACTTACAGGTGTGGCATTTCCTACATGCAGACGAAGGTAAAGGCTACGCTATCTAGGTCAATATTAGGACTTTGGATGAGTGGAGCGTTAAGACAGAAGTCACTTGTCAGAAGAGTGCTGTCAAATTCATGATGCATTTGCTTCATTCTTCCAAAGCAATGGTGAGAAAGAAAATCAGCAATTATAATGGAAGGTTACTTTTAGAGAAGAGTCAGGTAAAAGTTCCATGACTTACAATAGTCATGATCATTCGAGGTCGCAGTTTGTAAGCAAAGTTGTTAAAAATAATCAATACGTTATTTATGTGAATTTTGTAATGTAACATCAGAATATTGAATAATAAATATATAACATAAATATATAACAAATTATCTAGTCTGAACTTTTATATAATAAAAGATAATGCTTCTGGACTTCATTCCAGAATGTATATAATGAAGCATCTCTTCCTGACATTACCAAGTCCTGAGTTTGAATTTTTGGTCATAGAAAATCCAAAGCAACCTTTGGCATCCAACCATAAGAAAAATTCTGACCTACATGAGCAAGAAGTTTCTAACACTTCTGCAATTCAGACTGCATTTATTATTAATATTATTAGCACTGCTACTACTACTAATACCAAAATTACTGCCACAAGTAATTTCAGTAATTCAACACAGATGTTGGGATGGTCAGTGCAATTTTCCCCACACCCCTCACACAGTGCAACTCTGCCTTATCTCAAATTTCTCTCACACGTTAAGCCCTTCTCTACAGTCGTTATCGATCTAACAAATCCCTTCCTACATATCCAGGATGGATTTTCTTATCCTTTTCTTCACAACACAATAGACTCTGGCAACTAACAGTGAATGGGTAAGAGTAATGATTTGCTAAACTTAAACTTTTGACTGAACCCGGATGACACACTAGGAAAACATACAACAGCATACTGCATCTTTTAGGTCCTCTAACACACAATGTTTCACCAGGGAAGATTAGGGATGCACAATGTTTGTCTGTTCTGGCTGTGCTCCAAGAGAACCAAGCTGCAACTTGAAAAAACTTTATTATGTTCAAAGAAAACATTTTTGCAAGATGTAGAATCATAGAATTGTTTGGGTTTGAAGGGACCTTAAAGATCATCTAGTTCCAACCCCCCGGCCACGGTCAGGGACACTTTCCACTGGACCAGGATACTCAAAGCCCCATCCAACCTGGCCTTGAACACTTACAGGGAGGTGACATCCACAACTTCTCTGGGCAACCTGTTCCAGTGCCTCACCACCCCCATAGTGAAGAATTTCTTCCTTATAGCTAATCTAAATCTGTCCTCTTTCAGTTTAAAGCCATTACCCCTTGTCCTATCACTACATGCCCTTGTAAAAAGTCCCTCTCCAGCTTTCTTGTAGGCCCCCTT